CTAAATTAATTAGTTCTTTCTGTTCCTTTGATTCTAATTATGTTATGATATTTAAAAAGCATAATTTCAATTATACGTTACTTTGGAATGTGAAAGTAACAAGTATATTAATACATGAGTAAAGAAAAAAACATACTCCCTCCATCTCTATATATAAATATTTTTTAGAACCTTATTTATCCTTATCACCGTCATAGTATTAATTGTAACATTATTAGGGAAAAAACTGAAAAATAATTAAGATATATACAATTCAACTAAATAACAAACTTTTATTAACATGAAATATTTGATTAAAAATACCTTACGTATGATAGGTGTAACATCCCAATTTAAATTTTAATAGTTTAAATTGAGTTAATAGAAATTTAAAAAAAATATTTAGAGGTGAAGTAAATTAGAAAAAGATGATTGTTAAATCTAATCAGGATATAATTATAAATTAAAATTAAAATAATAATAATTAATTAATTAATTAAAAAATATTAAATTATTATTATTCATTATTAAAAAAGAAAATGTATAAAGAAAGAAAGAAGAAGAAGGAGAAGAAGAAATCATGCTTTCGTGCTCTCCTACGGCAATCATGACACAATATATATAATAATAAAAAAAAGAGAAGAGAGGAAAGAGAAAACCAAAAAAAACATGTGGAATCCGCTGTATTTTTTTTATAAAACCACCCTCCTTCCTCGTTTCTTCATTTCATCCCTGTACACGAGCTGAGGTAGCGAGCAAGAGAGCGAGCGACATTGATGGAGAGGCTAACTGATTTCGAAGGTGAAACTCCATAATAGGATACTTTATATGAGATTTTAAGTATTTTAAAATTGGGTAAGTGTTCTAAACATTTTTTTAGTCATATTTTCTCTTTGGTTTCTAATTTTGTGGTAGTAAAAATTTAGAATTGAAAGCGGATGAATTAGGTTGAATAAAATGGTTTTGAGGTTGTTAGTAGTGTAATATTCTAGAGTATTATTTTGTTGATAGAATTGAAATTTGAGGCATTTGAGTTTATTCCTACATTTCTATGGGTAGATTTTGGTTAAATCTGAAAATATAAATTGATTTGTTGATATTTAGATGATTATTTGAGATGAGAAATAAATATATTATGACTATAGAATAATAAATCTAGGCTTGAAACAAGTTTACAATTTTGGTGGTATTTTTATGTGCGAATTTTTGGAATAAAAAGAGAAATTTTGATATTAGAAAAAATTTTGAATGAAATTATTGTGAAGGAGACTATTAAACCAAGTAGATAGGTTCAAATACATGAAATTTAAATTTTAGAATTCAAGAGACTAAGACTAATTCTTAAAAAATAAATCTAAAATAAAATAAAATAAACTACTTAGTGTTTGAGTATGAGTGAAAATTGTGTTAATAATATTATTGACACTGGGATATAATCAATTGTAGATTAATTTTTTTTTGACACCATTCAAGCTTTGAAAAGCTTTGGAAGTGTTGTGACTTGAGGGTTAACTTTTGACTTCTCAAAGGTTGAGGGTAACCTGGGGAAATCTATTTTATGTATTTGTGTATGTTAAATTAATTAATTATGTTAGTGAAACAAAAGAATATATATATATATATATATATATATCTAAATTTGAAATAGTTGTTTGTAATGCATGTGACTTTGTTGAGACTATGATTTGTGAGTAATGAGATTGGTGGTTGATGATTATGTGTACATTCTTGGTTATAAGTTGTGGATTATGCACAGTGATGCAAGTTGATGAGCATGTGGGATAATTTTGAAATATATATATATATATGAGTTTTTGAAATGCATTTTCTCATGAGCATGATCATATGGCGGGAGTTCGCCTTAGTGAAGGCGTTAGCGGTTATGCAAATCCATATGGTACTTGACTATTAACCAATAATCATAGGGGCTATAGCCGCTACTTACCTTTGTGAGGTACTGTAGCATTGTTCCTATTAAGGGGACTTGACCCTACTGGCCTACCTGGAGTTTGGGTAGAGCTAGTTTTGGGTATGACACCCCATAGTGTGTGATTTGGGGAAACGTGTTCATAAGTGAGTAAGGTAACCTTGGCTCGGTAGCTCCTCATGATATGATTAAGCTTGGTTTGGGTAATCTCACCACATGGATGATCCCTTCCAGTTGTTAGCCCACGGATTTCATGTCAGCGAAATAAGGGGGGATATAAGGGAAGAGATTGATCATGCATATTATTATTATTATTATGCCATTTGAGTGATTGATGGCTATGTTGAGAATATGATTATAATCGTGAGTAGAAATGAAACATGTAGTAATTATGCGAATAATGTATATGTAGTTATTTGTGCAAATTTTATACTCGACTTTATTCTTGAAATTATTCACATGAATTAAATGTTAATGTGATTAACATGTTATTAATGTGATTGTTTGAATGGTCACCTTGATAAATTTATTGGTCACTTGCATTCATGATTAATTATCATGCATTTGTATAACTTAGATATACTTGGTTACTGAGTGGTTGTACTCACCCCTCTTTTTAACATATTACAGGAGTTAGCTCATCTGAGAATAATAGAGGAAAGGAGCATTAGGCCAAGTGATAATAATCACTTCTGTAGGCCTCTCTCCTTTTATGTTGATATGTGTATTTAGTTTATAATATTGCCAATTAGGATAATATATTCTTGATACATTTGCACTGTGGGTTTTGTGTAGGATGGAAAGGTATTTTGGGCTCTTGAAAATGTGTTTTGATGCTTGTATTATATTAATGGGTCAAAATATTTGCACAAGTAAAAATAATTATTATCATGCTTCCGCATTTGTTTAATTGAATGATATGAGTTCTTAAAATATTTTAAAAATTTGGGATTCCTTTATATTAAATAGTTTGTGAAAAAAAATACATATTAAGAATTCATTTAGGTTGAATCTCGTATTATATAATTATTTAGGTTAAGTCTTGATTAATCATGTTAGTATGATGATTAAGTCTTAATTTAGGACGCCTCGTTACAATAGAGATGGAGGGAGCAGAGCATGATTAATGTGATTGCTAATTTTAGAAAAATTAATAATTTGATTCCTTTAATTTTAACTTGATTGTAATATAATACATAATCCTTGCATTTTAACTTGGTGCAACTCATTTTACATGATTTCAACTCAATTAAAACCTACTCTCCAAATTCTAACTCATTATAATTCATTTTTTATAAGTTTAATATTTAAAACATTAATTCTCAGGCTTCAAGGAATAACTTTTAATTTTTAATTTTATTTTTTAAAATATAAGAACTAGCATTTTAAATGCTATCAAAACCATATGAATTGATTGTACCTAAATTAAAATTCAAGACCATGTTATGATTAATTAATATTATAAAGATTGAATTATAACAAATTAAAATACGTGATTAAGTTTTAACTAAGTCAAAATTAGAAGTATCAAGTGATTAAGTAAATCTTAGAGAAAAAAAAATAAGAGAACGTTGTAGATGATACTCATTTGGGTCTTGGATGCAAGAATCAGTCGAGAGCTTGAAGAGTTTGCGCTGACTTTAAACGCAAGATCCTGATCTCCTTTTGCATTCCCTTATTTATTACTTTTTCCCAGCCACTGTGTGCACTGTGCAATCAATACGGTTCCAAAAAGAAGAAAAATAAGCCAAGTAATGGATCGATGGCCAATAGAAGGCAGGCAGGCCTATCAGAATCAGAAGTCAGGGGAAGCAATCAGGCCAGCAACTTAACAGCAAAGCATTGGAAACACCTCAATGATGAGAAACCCCCTTAATCCTCCTCTACCTCACACGTCTACCCTTTTCCGCTTTCTGCTGGAGCTTCAGGACAGGCCTCCAAAATTAGCATGTCGACATATAATTTTTTAGCAATATAAAATTATACTCAATAAATTTTCAAATAAGACTGTCAAAAATCATGAATGTGTCCTTTCTCCACGGTCTTATGCGGTTTTAATAAATTATATTTAGCCTTTTTAAACATCTTTAAATTAATTCCATTCTCATAATCTATTATTAACGTGCTTTGATATTTTAATTAGAATTAGAATTACTAGATAGATAGATAAGGGCGCTTGTCATTCATCTGTAGTGAATGATGCAGTTTGATTTAAATCGTATATTAAAAAAAAAAAAAATTCTATCTGCATCAAGTTTATGATCACAGTTGATATATCTTCTTCGGTCTCCTGTGGCAACAGAGCTTTGCCGGGTAGAAGAGACTATTCAGGTGATTAAAATATTTTAAATAATTAAAATTATATGGATTAAGTCATATTACATAAAAGTTGAAGTGTCAAATTATAACTAATTCAAACTTTTTGAATTATAATAATTTTTTAAGTATTGAATTATAATTAAATTAAAACCAAATGACTAAATTATTATTATATTTTAAATTTAAATTCAGTTTTTTAAATAATATTTTTTGGGACAAACAATTTTTTAATATTTTATTACTGCAGCAAACCCTAAAAAACAGTGACAGCCACGCTCACTACGCCCGCCCTCTTGTCTACGACAGGCACGTCAGTCAGATGAATACATGATCCATGCTCTGTCCGATCTTCCAGCTGATCCACATATACTTGGACTTGGGACGCCGTCGTTTCGTGCTGCTACGAACGGGACAAATGGTAATCTCCCCGGCTGCGTGGGACTGTTTTTACTTGAGTAAATTACTTGTTGGTCACTCTCACTGTCGTTTCGTCTGTTCATTGATTTTCTTCTACTACTATACTATTATTGGAGTGTCTTGAACGCTCCTCGCAGCAGCGTGAGGTTCAGGAAATGTTTTAATGTTTCACCATACTCCATCTCAGTGAGATTCCAAACTTCCTCCAATTAAAGAACCCCACGTGGAATAAAAAAAGGCGGAACGGGGAGGTTCGATCAGACCGCTAGGCAACACTGAGTTCACATGAAACCTACCGCTTTTGAATATTTCTTGTTTCTTTACAGCCAAAATTAAATAAAGCTCTCTCTTCCCCACCGTGCTTCTTCTCTCCCAGTTGCTATTTTTCATGCCTCTGTTCCCCGGTCTGTCTCCTTGATTTAGGGTTTTCAGCGGGGTAGAAGTTCCGTACCCACGCAGAGTTGTAATTTGGGAGACGCCTCTTTCTCGTGGTGGTCGTGAGGGGTCATGGTCATTGCACTGATCTCTGATTCAAAAGTCACTTCACAAATCCGAATCTAAGGTCCCCAATGTGATGACTTCTGTCACCAGTGAATGGCTCGATTTCGTTTTCTGCACCTGCATTTCTTCGCTATATTCGTGTTCACGGTCGTATTCTCGAGGCGGCGTGTCTGTGGCAAATCCACGAGCAGCGATTCGGACCCGGATTTTGCAATAACCGATTTTGGTTGGAGCCTTTTTCATCAGGATTACTCTCCACCGGCTCCACCGCCGCCGCCGCCGCACCCACCATCAGTCTCCTGCGTCGACGATCTTGGTGGGATAGGGTCTCTGGACACGACTTGCCGGATTGTGAACGATGTGAACCTCACCCGCGACGTGTACATAGCTGGGAAGGGCAATTTTTATATCCTACCCCGGGTGAAGTTTCATTGTCCGAGTCCTGGCTGTATGATAACCGTTAATGTTACTGGAAATTTTAGTTTAGGTAATAACTCGTCAATCCTCACCGGAGGTTTTGAGTTGGTTGCACACAATGCAACCTTCCTGAATGGTTCGATGGTCAACACGACGGCTATGGCAGGGCAGCCTCCTCCGCAGACGAGTGGCACCCCTCAAGGTGTTGATGGGGCGGGCGGGGGACATGGCGGGAGGGGTGCGTGCTGTTTGGTGGACAAAACAAAGCTTCCGGAGGACGTCTGGGGTGGGGATGCGTATTCATGGGCTTCACTTCAGGCCCCGGAAAGTTTTGGGAGCCGGGGTGGGTCAACAAGTAAAGAGGAAGATTATGGCGGGTTGGGTGGTGGGCGGGTGAAGATGATCGTTGATAAATTTCTTGAGATGAATGCCACTGTTTTGGCTGACGGGGGCGATGGAGGGTCCAAAGGCGGAGGTGGCTCTGGAGGCAGTATCTACATCAAGGCTTACAGAATGTAAATTCTTCCTCTTCCTCTTCCTCGTCGTCCTCCTCCTATTATTATTATTATTATTTTGAAACTTGGTTAAATTCGCATACAATTGCTGTTGTCGGTATTACTGATATTCTGCTTCATAACAAGTCTTTCGGTATCACTTTGAAATCAAAACTGCCTCTAGTGACATCTTTCTAGTGTCTCCCTTGTTACCTCACATCTATTTGCAGTTTTGTTAGAGTATTCATTCTACGTGTCTTAGCTTCAGTTTAAGTAATCTCCTCATATTGACAATTTTCGTGGATAGATAACTTTATTTTCTTAGCTTTTGGTGAAAGATACGTTCGCTAATTAAACATAATCTCTGTTTATGCTTGAGTGCAATTGCATACAAATGTGCTTTTTTATGTATAAAGACCTTTCTATTTTTTGGCATTATTCATGAAACCAGGACTGGCAGTGGACTAATAAGTGCTTGTGGAGGGAAAGGCTATGCTGGCGGCGGCGGTGGCAGAGTTTCAGTTGATGTTTTCAGTAGACATGATGGCCCCAAGATTTATGTTCACGGTGAGGGTTTTACATTTTTGTTTTTTGGAAGTATGCCTTGCACAATACTTGACTGCAGGCTGAAGGTAAAAAACATATGTTGTAAGTGCTGGCAATTGAATGTTCTCTTTTATGGAAAGGAACTCATATGCTAAGCTGGTGGGTGTTGAGGATCTCTCCCTAGTTTAATTGGAATAAACTAGTTCGCATTATAGGATATTGCCAGGAATCCTCTTTCATCTTTGTGGCAAGTCTTCAAAAGAATGTGATCTTCAGAACCCTCACCAAGGCATCAACCCCTTCCCAAATATATTTTTGTTATAAGAATGTGCAATTGTTGGAAATTTGGATAATTATGTATTCTCGGCACCCTAACTTTTTCTGAGGTGATTTATCCATTGAAATTGCTCATTGTGTCTCTCTTTTGTTTGCTGGAAGTTCTGATTACTGCTTCATACTATAATTATTCTGGTAGATTTAGATCATTTAGTGACCAAAGTTGAAGAGCCTCATCCATGAAGAGCACCTACGAAAACGGATGACTTGCTGATGTTTTTGTGCCTTTGTGGATAACAAACAGATGACTGTACAATTGACTTCTCATTTCAGGTGGTAGCAGCTCTGGCTGTCCTGAAAATGCAGGTGCTGCTGGAACTTTATATGATGCGGTTCCTCGGAGCCTCATAGTTGATAATTATAACATGTCAACTGATACAGAGACACTGCTCTTGGATTTTCCTAACCGCCCTCTGTGGACTAATGTTTATGTGCGGAACAAGGCTAGGGCCACAGTTCCTTTGCTCTGGAGTCGTGTCCAGGTTTGTAACTATATAGTTAGATAGATTTTGCAGCACATGTGCTCTTTAAGAGTGTGCAGTCATACCAAGTGCACTGAGAGATAATTTGATCCTGTTCTTGCAAAATTCTTTAATCCATTCATACTGGAGCAACTCTGCAGTTTTAGTTTTGGATATGATTAAGAAACTGCAGAAAGTACCCCTATTTGCAAAAATGTTCAAGATACAAGGAAAGAAGTGCAAGTGTCATAGTCTATCTGAGTGCGTTTGCACATTGATTCAAAGACACTTCTAACTTGTTATCTATCTGCCGACACATGTTTTATATTGGCTTGTGTTACTAATTCTTGCTCTGGCAAGAATAACTGTGGTCTGCAATACTGTCTAACCCTTGTATATTTTTTTCAGAGCTTAATTAACTGGTGGTATTGTGAATGCAATTATTGCGATTGTGTATTGAATATATAACATCATTCTGACCCTTCTATGGTTTACTTTTCTATTTGTTGTCTAGATCAGGTTCCCTCTGTCCATATAATGATTTATGTTCTTTTCTTTATCTAGTTTGTAAAAAAGTACTTTGCATGTTAGGACATCAGTTCACCTATCTGATTCTTTCTCTCTGCATTGCAAAGGTGCAAGGACAGATAAGTCTCTTGCAGAATGGAGTGTTGAGCTTTGGGCTGCGGCACTATGCCTCATCAGAGTTTGAATTATTGGCTGAAGAGCTGTTGATGAGTGATTCTGTGATAAAGGTAACTGGACTGGACGCTGTCTGCGTTTTCTGAGCTCCACAATTTTTTTTCCCAGGTTCCGATGTTTCTTTTAAAGGTTTTATATTGTACGTTCTGATTTTTTTAACCTTTATACGCAGCCTGAACATGCATTGAAAACCTATGCAAGCCTGAGTTTAATATCTTTTGTATGCAAAGTACTAAGCATGATTACATGTAATTTATTAATTCTGTACTTTTGTGTATGAATTGAAAGGTATACGGAGCTCTACGCATGTCTGTAAAAATGTTCTTGATGTGGAACTCAAAATTACTCATAGATGGTGGGGGAGATGTGACAGTTGCAACCTCGTTACTTGAGGCTAGTAATTTGGTTGTTCTCAAGGTATTTTACAACTCTTAAAGAGCATGGACACTGACTGCAACATGACAAGTTTTTAGATGTCCGGTTGATATTTGAATGATTGACATTGAAATGACTAATTTTTTTGAATTATAGAACTCTTTTTTGTTCATGTTATTACGTTTTGTTTCCTTTTAACATGTCAAGCTGTGCTGACAGGAAGCTTCTGTGATACATTCTAATGCAAACCTGGGAGTTCATGGTCAAGGTCTACTTAATTTGTCAGGTCCAGGGGATTGGATAGAAGCACAGCGTTTGGTTCTATCCCTATTTTACAGCATTCATGTGAGCCATTTTTCTGTTTTTACTACTGAATCATATAAGTAGTTCTTGTCTCTTTGAAGATTTATTTATTTTTCATATGTATTGTTTGATTTAAGGTTATTAGAGGTGAATTTTTACTGATAAGCATATGGGGGTTCATAGTCTAGTATTTGCAGTAGGTCCTTGTGTATACAAGCATAAAAAAATGATCTCTGTCAAAATGAAGCATTAATGATCTTGTAGGCATAAAATAGTTTAAATGTCTAGCTTATTGGGGTTCATTAAGATGTAGCAGTCCATTTAAGTTTAGTGTGTAAAGTAGGTCCATGCATATATAATATATTGGCATTCTTAAAAACATGTTCCAAGTTGAAGTTAGTATCAACAATCTTATTGGCATTCTTAAAAACATGTTCCAAGTTGAAGTTAGTATCAACAATCTTATAGGCACAAAACAGTTTAAAATGTCATAAGTATGCCATAGAAAGAAGAATAATAAGGATCCGAAGTGAACAAAATAAAGGCTGATTGCTGGTTATAATTTTTTTAAGGGAAGATTACTCATTTGGTTTGTATAGTTTTCACCTAGTTAAAACTCAATTCCTAAACTATCTTGGTGCAATTCAATCACTATAGTTTTGATTCCATTGAAACTTAGTTCTTGAACTTTAACTCTGTCCAACTTAGATCCTATATTTAACCATTTAAAATATTTGTTCCTATTTTTTTAAAATAAAATTATGAAAAGACGGAAGTTATTTCTTAAAACTTAGGGACTAATGTTTTAAATTTTGAAAAATATAAGGATTGAGTTGCTGAGTTAAAGTTTAGGGACTGAGTTCTAATTATGTCAAAACTATAAGGACTAAGTTGCGTCGAGCTGAAGTTTAGAGACTAAATTACAATTGAGTCAAAACTATGAGAATTAAATGATTGATTTTTCTTTTTTTTAAAATATAGTTATTAGCACTTTGGGTTTTTCCCTCTTTTAACAATTTGGACTGGATTTGAGTTCAAGAGGCCAACAGCTAATACCAACATTTTGGCCCTGAATAAAGTTACAATAATGGCCATGATCATAGAAATTTTGCGTTTTCCAAGTTCTGCTGTGACTTTTCAGATGCTTGCTTTTTAGCCCAATCCAATGGGCCATGTATTTTACTGTGCTTGTTTTATGGTGAAGCCTTCTTTGGCCTTTAAAATGGTAATTTGCTTGACATTTTTAGGTTGGGCCTGGATCTGTCCTGCGTGGTCCACTGGAGAATGCAACAACAGATGATGTGTGAGTTTGATTTTGGTCAAATCATCATTCATCCACTCTCCTCCTGTAGTCTAATATGTGCTATGTTTCTACATGTCTTCATGTTTTGACAATGACAGGACGCCAAAGCTCTATTGTGACAGGGAAGATTGCCCTCCTGAATTACTTCATCCTCCTGAAGATTGCAATGTTAACTCATCCTTGTCATTCACGCTTCAGGTACTCTTTCTAGTTTAGAAAGTTAATGATTTGTTATGCTTAAGCTTCAGTAAGAAAATTGAGAACTCTGTAAGTTGTCTGTGTAGATCTGCCGAGTTGAGGACATCAATGTTCAAGGCCTTGTAAAAGGGTCTGTTGTTCATTTCCATAGAGCTCGGACTATAAGTATTGAGTCTTCTGGAACAATATCTGCCTCTGGAATGGGTGTGTTTCCTTGTTAGAGATTTTCCATCGTTGACTCAAATTGCTGTACATTCCCTAGATTCATTCTGTCTTGCCCAATGATTTCTGCAGGTTGTGCAGGTGGTTTGGGCAGAGGAAGTCTGCTAAACAACAGCATTGGCAGTGGTGGTGGGCATGGTGGTAAAGGTGGGAATGCATGCTTTAATGATAGTTGCATCGAGGGTGGCATGCCATATGGGAGTGACATCCTGCCTTGTGAACTTGGTAGTGGAAGCGGAAATGATAGCTCAGTTGGCACTACAGCTGGTGGTGGTATCATAGGTATGTTTATATTCAGCCAGCAACAAGTTATTGTTTTATTTAGATGTTGATCACCACAAATTGTTGTAATTCATTCTTGTTTTATGCATGCTCAAGCAGTCATGGGGTCTTTAGAACATCCGTTGTCAAGTTTGTCCATTCAAGGTTCTGTAAGAGCTGATGGAGACAGTTTCGAAGGAGCAATCAGAAGAGAAAAATTTATTATTTTTGATAGTTTTGGTGGTCCTGGGGGTGGATCTGGTGGAACTGTACTTCTGTTTCTCCATACCTTGACTATTGGGGAGTCAGCTATTCTTTCTAGTATGGGGGGATATAGCAGCTCTAATGGAAGTGGTGGTGGAGGCGGTGGAAGAGTTCACTTTCATTGGGTTGATATCCCTACTGGAGATGTTTATCAACCGATTGCTAATGTGGAAGGCAGCATACATACTGGGTATGCATGAGAATTCTCTCTCATTACTCATTAGTAGGCTAACTTAAAATTTTTGGCATTAGCGTCATATTATATAATAATAGCTGCAGATGCTAAAAATGTTTCTTTGAATTATTCCTTTGATTATAACTTCTTTCTTCAGATTCCTTTACCACCAAAGTGAAATCTGTAGTAGTCATGTTTGCAGGAGAATGACTTAAGACGTTGATTTTTTTTCCCCTTCCCCCTTCCCCCTTTCCCCTTGTACATTTTAATGATATTTTGTTTTTTATTCATGTATGTCATAATGGGGATTCCAGAAACTTTATGATTTAATCTATAATTTTGATAGGGGAGGGGAAGGTAGAGGTAAGGGTGGATCCGGAGAAAATGGGACAATAACTGGGAAAGCTTGCCCCAAAGGTCTCTATGGTACATTTTGCCAGGTAGATTTATCTTCTCTCTTTATTTTTTTGTTTCTTTTGGTACTTGTTTTAATTACCTTTTTTTTTTTTGGTGAGATCTTGCTTAATCATGTTGAATATCACATGTTTGTGCGACGTAATTTTACTCGTCTTGGTGGCTTTTTTCAAAGGTTGAGAATATATGTGGAGAATACCTGGCAGGTTCTTGTGGTCATGTTTATAATATGGATTCTGCTTCATCCTTTATGCTGTAACCTCTAAAATGTGCTGTTTGATGAGATTCTAGGGCATGGATTACATTTCCAACAGTGATATATCCAAGGGAAATGTACTTAATGAAATGCAAATATAGATGCAATGTTTTGGTGACTAGAATGAGAAGCTAATAGGCAGCACTGTATTGTGGCTGCATAATGGAAATAGGGAGGATGTTGCTTACTTTCTTCTGTTTCTTCTAACTGCCTGTCATGCACTGCAACTGGCAATTGGATGACTTGTCCAGTGTTTTTTAAGGTTTAGATAAGTCTAATAGACTCAAATAGCCCTTCTACTTGAATATCTATGGATTGAAAGTGTGTTTGAATGAGAAACACATAAGCCCCCTTGAAATCTTACTGCATGTGCTTCTGACATTGGTACCTTGGCTGGATAATGTAATTGCTGCATCATCATTTCATCGCAACTCTTTCTATTCTGCATCGCCTCTTCACCCTGGCATGTGCATTAGATACTTCTCACGACATGGACAGAGGAAGCATACTCTTATTAATAGCAGCTCTGTCTTCCATTCCCTTGCTGCTTTGTTGCTTTCTATCTTGTGAGAGCTAACTAGTGCTTTGATTACTTAAGTTCCCACTCAGGTTTTGATACTTTTCCTTTACCTTCAGGAATGTCCAGCTGGAACTTACAAAAATGTTACTGGATCTGATCGATCACTTTGTCGCCATTGCCCTGTTAATGAGCTGCCCCATCGTGCTGTTTATATTTCAGTCCGAGGTAAAAGTCTCAATTTAATGGTCATTTAAAGTACTTAGGCATGTGAAGATATTAAAATATTGTACCTTAAAGGTGAGAATGTACCAGATTTACTTTGTGCTCATAGGTTCTTGTGTCCTTGTGTCTTTTTTATGTGTGTTTTGAGGGCCCCTGGGGCGGGGGTTGTGCTTCCAAGTGTTAAACTCATTGCCTTTATGGATTTTGACACTATCTTCTATGCCAATGCATAAATTATGGTTTCCCACTTGCAGGTGGTATTGCTGAAACACCGTGCCCTTACAAATGCATTTCTGACAGATATCACATGCCACACTGTTATACAGCACTTGAAGAGTTAATTTATACCTTTGGTGGGCCTTGGTTGTTTGGTCTTTTTCTTATTGGTCTCTTGATACTATTAGCACTGGTGCTTAGTGTGGCACGGATGAAATTTGTTGGGGTTGATGAATCACCAGGCCCTGCTCCCACCCAGCATGGTTCTCAAATAGATCACTCCTTCCCATTCCTCGAGTCACTAAATGAGGTTTTCTCAATATCTGCAGTTTTTTCTTCATTTTCATCATTACGATGTGGCCATTGTGAAACAATTAAGATAGTTAGACTCCTCACTAGTGGCATTTGCAGCCCCACTTTCTCTTACTGTTACTATGGTGGTAATGAGTTGTTTTGCAATGGCTAGGTCCTGGAAACGAATAGAGTTGAGGAGTCCCAGAGTCATGTGCACAGAATGTACTTTATGGGACCTAATACCTTTAGCGAACCTTGGTATCTACCACATACACCGCCTGAGCAAATACAGGAGATTGTGTAAGTGATTTTTTTATTGATTCTTTTTGAATCTGTAGAAGATTTTTGTCTGTTTGTTCTTGTCAAATCATGTTATTTGGTTATGTGTTGAGGTGGGGATCTGTTGATTTGATATGGTAGATATGAGGGCGCATTCAATACATTTGTGGATGAGATTAATGCTATAGCAGCATATCAGTGGTGGGAGGGAGCAGTTTATAGCATCCTCTCTGTCCTTGCATATCCACTTGCATGGTCATGGCAGCAATGGCGCAGAAGGATGAACCTGCAACGTCTACGTGAGTTTGTTCGATCGGAGTATGATCATGCTTGCCTTCGTTCTTGTCGTTCAAGAGCACTCTATGAGGGGATCAAGGTATATCTTTGTTCGACTGATTTGTTTGTCAATTGATTTTGTTTAGGTTCTTCCTTAATCTTTTCCAAGTGCAAATGCTTATGGTAAGCCATAATTCTTTGCCTAGCATTTAGTGTTAGAGCTGGTGGTTAGCTGCACTGAAGGGCTATTTGCGGAATGATGCAGACGACAATAGGAAATGACCATTCATATTGTGTGCGCTATTCTGTTTCATGGTTACTGATGGGAACTAAGGTAGCATGAGATGCCAAAGACCCAGATTGATTAGTATGGGCTGCTCAATACGGTACTTAAGTATAGAGTTTTCCTCTTCACAGCTAGTTTTGGGGGAGGGTTCTTCACCTTGCATGGGTGCCTATCATTTAGTATTAGAGCTGGTGGTCAACTGCCAAAGTGCTATTTGTGATGGGTTTTGATTGGTGAAAGGCCATGTGAAGCGGTGGACAGCTGTTGGGACTTCCAAAAGGGGCCAATGGATAGAGACATAAGGGATATACATGCATGCATACATACATACATCAAGTAGCATGATTGTTTTAAGTAGTGGTTCTCCTGTCTTAACAACTAGCTTTTGGGAGAGAGTTCTTTACTCCACTTGGGTGCCACTCATTTGATATTTAGAGCTTATGGTTGGATAATGAAAAGGATGCTTGTGAAGAGTTTTGGCTGATAAGAGGTTTAGTGGCTTGTCACAAAGCATAGCCATGGATATATGCTTTTTAAGGGTGATCAATTAATTGGAATGAAGATAATAAGGTATTGAAAGTGATGATTAAATAATTACTGAAAGGATAGCTCTTCAGTAATTTATGTATCTGAATTCACAATCGTAGTGAGTGTAGGATAATGAAAAGGATGCTTGTGAAGAATTTTGGCTGATTAAATGTTTAGTGGCTTGTTGCAAAGCATAGCCAGAGAGATATGCTTTTTAAGGTTGATCAATTAATAGGAATGAAGATAATAAGCTATTGGAAGGGATGGTTAAATAATTACTAAAAGGATAGCTCTTCAGTGATTTATGGATCTAAATGGTAGTGAGTGTAGGATAATCAATTGAGGACGCTGATGAATGTGGAGTAGCAAGAACGTAATTGGTTTCAATATGTATTTCATTATCCCGTAACATGAAAAAAGAAAGTGGTGCGTTGGAGTGGGGGTGGTAGATTTTCCCCTCTTCAATATGTTGGTGTAGATATTATCAGAAGAAAGGGACAAAGGTGCAGTGGATGGCCAGTTGGAGATTAAAATATTATCCCAGTGAACATGTATTACATGTAGGATTATCTAGTCTTCATGTTTTTATTGTTTCCTTGTAGTGAAGAGCGAAACATCAAGAATGGGCGTTTTTAATTTATATTTTGGGTGGGTTTGCAATCTGCATTTCAGTTAGAGCATACATCGGAGTATTTAACATGTCTGGAATGTTCTAGGTCGCTGCAACTTCTGACTTGATGCTTGCATATGTGGACTTCTTTCTTGGTGGGGATGAAAAAAGAACTGACCTCCCTCCTCGATTACATCAAAGATTCCCAATGTCGTTACTTTTTGGAGGTGATGGAAGTTATATGGCTCCATTCTCTCTTCACAATGATAATATCCTTACCAGCCTCATGAGTCAGGTTTGTTTAATGATTTTGAGGAACTAGAATTGTGTTTCATCGTACATATGCAAATTGATTTGTGTTACAGAGGGCTGAACTTTGTTGTCTATTCCTAGGGCACTTGATATTTGTCTTTTTTATGTATGCAGTCAGTTCCACCCACCACATGGTATCGATTGGTTGCGGGATTGAATGCACAATTGCGATTAGTTCGCCGTGGAAGACTAAGAGTAACATTTCGATCTGTCCTCAGATGGCTTGAGGCTCATGCCAATCCTGCATTAAGAATCCATGGTGTACGGGTTGATCTTGCCTGGTTTCAGGCTACATCTAGTGGTTATTGCCAATATGGACTTTTGGTTTATGCACTTGAAGAAGGAACTAGCCCTGCACCCACTGAAGGAAGTATTGATGGAGCAGTAAGAGTTGAGGAAATATCATGGTACTTATTCTTTACGGCTTCCAAAGGGGAGACCATGATATAGATTTTAGTTTTTTGTTTGAGTGCATCATAAAGTATGCAGACAATGTTTTTCAAGTTCGTGTAGAATTCAGATTTGTTGGGTTAGAACTTTTGATTACCTTAAATGACAATTTTGTGTCAACCAAAAATTATAAAAAATGATGTCATATTGTGATGATCCAGATGAGGATAGTGCCACTTATATGAGATAGTTGGTCCCCTTTTTTTAGGGAAAAAGCTTGAATTATTTGATTTTTTTTTTCCAGGGTTGGGAGTGTGAAGGAACATTCTTCTGTCCAGCCAAGAAGAGCACTCTTGAGCTCAAGTGAAATAATTGATAACAATTATACAAGGCGAAACACAAATGGGACTGTTATAGATTCAAACAGTATACAGATGCTTGAAGAAAAGAGAGAGATATTTTATCTTCTCTCTCTTATTCTTCACAATACAAAGCCTGTTGGACATCAGGTATCTTGTGTTGGCTATTCTAACTTATGAGGTGTAAATTCTGTTATTTTTATTGCCATCATTTTAAGCCGCTTGCTTTTCTCCTTTCCTTTTGCTTTAATTGCAGGATCTGGTTGGTTTGGTAATTTCGATGCTGCTGCTAGGAGATTTTAGTTTAGTATTGCTTACTTTGCTGCAGTTGTATTCAATTTCTTTGGTGGATGTCTTCCTTGTTTTGTTTATATTGCCTTTTGGCATTCTTCTTCCATTTCCTGCTGGAATTAATGCCCTGTTCAGTCATGGGCCAAGGCATTCTGCAAGCCTTGCGCGTGTTTATGCTCTGTGGAACCTGTCGTCCTTCATAAATGTTGTGAGTTATCGCAACTCCTCTGATTTGTGATATATGATCTTTCACTTCCTGTACATTTTTAAGTTCGAAGTGCTTTGTTTTTATCTTTTTTTTTTTTTAAATCTTTTTCTGAAGGTGGTTGCATTTCTTTGCGGATATATCCATTACAACTCTCAATCATCCAGTAAGAAACATCCCAGCTTTCAACCATGGAGTATTAGCATGTAAGTGTGTTCTTTGCTTTTCATTAGAGCTGTATTCATGGGAAAATCTGACCTGTCTTTCTGCGGCTTCGTTGTTTGTGGATTCAGGGACGAAAGTGAATGGTGGATATTCCCAGCTGGACTGGTTTTGTGTAAATTATTCCAGTCTCAACTCGTTAATTGGCATGTTGCCAATCTGGAGATTCAAGACCGCTCGTTGTATAGTGACGATTTTGAGCTGTTCTGGCAGTCATGATGGCGTGTTCACATCATATATTCCACATTAACTAGTTTTTTTCTTTATTTTTCTCCCTTTTCTTATTAATTCTCATGATATATCACATCTTCATAATGATCTCTAGAGTAGGTCAAATATTGCACAGGTGGAGTAAAACGCAACCGGGGACAAATAGTTACACAGAAATTCAAAGTTAGAGAGAAAAAGAAAAAAAGAAAAAAGGAAAAAGAAATAGATGCATTCATTACTGTAACCCCTAACTTTAAATGAGCTTTTTGGTCCTTGAGTTTCCCTGGAGTGTAAATATAATGTTAATGAGCACTGACTAGAGAACAGTCTATCGACTTTTCTCAGCTGATGTCCACTTTTAATGTTTTGTTCGATTTGTGAATGCTATCTTTTTTCTGATGACGACTCCAATTAAGTTCATTGTACCAAGTGTAATTCCACTGAGAATTTATGTGCTGTGAAATTTCATGCGATATCTATCTATAATATTATAATTGACAGTGGTGGTATGTGTGCTCTCTTCGCGGCTCGACTTGGTTTGGCTGTCACTTCGCACCATACACTTGTAATCAAACCACACGGGCTAAAAAAGGTTATCAAAATAAATTTCTTAACAAGAATTTCAAATAATTCAATTAAAATTATTAATTTTATCTTTAAATTTTAAAATTCTTTGGCAAATTTTTCAAGATGTCTCGTATTAAGTATAATTTTCTAAAAATAAAACAACGGGAGCATCATTCAGTGTTTCGCCCTTGTGAACTTATTTTATTTATTTTTTCAAATTTTGTCTGGGCTATTTCCCTCTTGGTTTAAATAATAAAATAGTGATTTTAGTTTTGTTGAGAATTATTTTAATACAAAGTAGTAGAAAATTTAAATTTTAATATCTAAGTAACTTTAACTAATTCTGTTAATTTCGGAAAAGTAGTTAGTAAAGTAGCAATAGATGTTCCCCACAAACTCAAGGTCAAAACCACAAGTTTACTAGTCAGCTAATCACATGTCAGAAACTTTTAGACAAGTCTCCGAGGAAAGAAAAAGTGATGGTTGTTTTGCAGGACTGTATAAAAAGGTCACGAGGTGGCCAGATGCAAGTCTTGTTCGTTCTTGTCTGCCACATTATGTCAACAAGAAAAAATCAAGAAGCCGGAAAAGAGGTTTATTTATCAAGAAGACTGCACAAATATATGTGGTGGCAGTGGTAGGGAATTAACTACGAAGACGAACAGTACGAAAACCAGAACAGCACATGACACTAACAAACAAGAGATACCACACTACTCCAACGTAAGGGGACTGATCATGCAAACTCAAATGAAATCAATTGACTTCCAATTAACCAGACGCATAAGCTTGATGTCCCATAATGGCCTCCTGAGCCCTCCCCGGCGCATAAGTCGCGAAGTCCTTGGCCCTTTTCTTCACGTCTCTCGCTTTATCTCCAATCAACCCCGCGGCATTGTCGAGCCTATCAGAACCCGCCGGGTGCTTTCCGGTGACATGGTTATATATCCAGGACAATGCAGCTATGGCAGCGACGCTGCAGCCGCCGGAGAACACGAACCCAGAAGCAGCCATGAAAGCAGCTATCCCTGCAGGGACCAAGATCGGACTGAACAGAACCAAGAGCGGGGTTGCCAAGATCAAGGCTATAACAGTTCCGGTGAGGGTCAAGGCCGACAGGAGCAAGAGGGTGACTCCAATAGTGACAGCCGTCAAGAACTTGACTGCTTGGCGTGCAGGAGGTTGGTTGGAGTTGGAGATCTCGTCGTAGTAGGCTGGTCTTGAGTAGTCAGACATGGTGAGGAAGAAGAGGAGTAAGGGAAGAGAGATGATGAGTAGTACTGTAATGAGGGGGCAGGTGAAGAGGGAGAGAAGTGGTATATAGGAAAGAGGTGGAGCAGAATAATGAGATTACGCGGCACAAATTGAGAATGCTTCGAGTCCTGTGGCGGCTTTGCATGAAATTGCTTCTCACACCTCACCAACACCTGTCTCCTTAACTGACCAGTGTCCCTTCCTTTGTAAATATGGCCGCTCCTTCTCACTACCTACTTTCCTCACCCATTTCCTTTTCTTTCGCTATCTCTATGGAAATCATTCTCAAACCAAAAAAAAGAAAAGAAAAAAAAGCATCATCTGAATACGAATCATTTAGATGATAATAGTGATATTTTGTATTTAATTTGTTCTAAAATCAACATATTGATCAAGATCTAAAGAGCAATACTTGGAATTTTTTTTATAAAAAAATTCCATGTTCACTACTGTAATGGTTCAACACCTTGTGCCGGCAAGAGCTCTAAATACACGGCATAATACTTTGATCTATGTTTATTTTATGGTCAAAGCATAATCAATCGTCGTAAAAAAAAAAAAAAAGGCTTGGCTGGCAGACCGCGATTCAACATCAGGGAATGAACTGGACAATAAAAGAAAAGCAAAGAAAAAAATAAAATTAAAATCCCAAAATAGTACATTTATGACAATTAGGCATTGATAAAATTTTAGGAAAAATTAATTACAAATATTAATTTAGACAATTGTAAATTCTTGAGTTCTAATTCTAAATAAGACATTTAAAATATAAATATAACTGTCAGCTTACAGTTAGAATTCCTATTTGTTTAAATCAATATTTTTAATTGTAATTTATTATTTAAAAAGCTCTTTTAAAAAGCTAACTATGATAAATTTCTTGTGATGGACTTATAGGATCTTTATTGTTGTTGTCCAAAAGCAAACGAGAAACCATTTTTAGGCAAGCCTCAATGTGCCTGTTTGGATTTTAATTGAATATAATAAATTATAAAAATAATTAATTAAATGATATATTTTAATCATATTTGATTATGTTATAATGCAACTCATTTGGATACCATTTTTTAAAATTAATTTTAACAAAATTGAAGATGTTTGGATAGTTTGATCAGAATCAATTTTAGCTATATAAATTACTATAAAAGATATTACTTTTCAAAATTAAATTATTAATATATTTGTATCTAATATTATTAAATTTTTTTAAATTTTTTTAAGAAGTAAAATATATTTTTTAAAATATATATCTGACTAATTATAAAAATTTAAATTATATTAATATTAATAATTTAATTTACGTAAATAAATAACTCATTATATCTTAGTTCAAATAAACTTAATGAAAGAGAAAGGTTTAATTCTTAAATATCAAAATATTAATTTTACAATAACTAATGAAAATGATAATATATAAATTGATCTCTAATGACATTATGGATATAAGTCATATTTGATGAAGATGTTAATCACTGCTTTAAAATTTTGGCAACATGAAAAATGTAGCAATATCACAAATGATGCAAAATCTCTCTTTCTGAACCTTTGCAACAATTTTTTTCATGACTCTAAATTTTAAATTAATTTTTTTCTATTAATTAATATTTTATTTGAATTAATGTTATAGTAAATGCTGAGTGAAGAGTGATGGTTGACAGAAACTTATACTAATAATTTTTTTAAGGATACAAAGTTTGAATTTTATTAAAAAAAAAAGAGAAGAGAAGAGAGTTTAATTTTATTTTTATTGAATTGTGCATTTTGTTTGTAATTTTTTTTGCCTTTCTTTATAATTTTTTCCAATGCTTTTTTGTAAGCTTGTCCACAAAAGCTCGTCAGCTTCCGGAAAAAAATGATTTTTTGCCCAAAAATGGATTAACCAAATTTACAGTGTTTGGATAATTTTGACAAAAATTGATTTTTCCTTTAAATAATCGCTATCCAAACACACGCAATGTGACCAAACAAAAACTAAAATTTAGACCGTTGAGAAAATGAGAACGGGCAGGAACACCTCGTGCCCCAGCTACTTTGTAGCCACCAAAAAAAAAAAAAAAAACAAGAAGAAAATAAAAGGCCACAACACCAACACAGGGAAAAAAACAAATCTTGCTCAGAGGGTGTAAAATCGAGGGCTGTGACAAATTATTAATTAAGTGTTTGGTAGACTGATTGTTAAATTTTCTTTAAGAGCTCAGATTTTTTTTTTCCCGGTCGAAAAAAATTTGGATCCTTCACCAGAGACTATTATTATTGATCTTCTTCCTTTTTTACCCCCATAATCCCAATCTCTATGAATGTTGCTCCAGCAGGTGATGGTGGCTACGTAATCCTTGAAACTTTCTCAAAAGTCTAACCCGCTGCCTCGCTTCTAATTATTGATGACTTCCCTGTTTAAAAACTCAGATCTCAAGGGACGCTCCCTAAGAAAACTTTTGAAAATTGTTTTGAGCGGTATTGGACCACGTGGCGGATATTCAGCACTCGACCGTTGTAAAGCTCATTGAATAATTCTCCCTTCCCAGCCCGTCCTTCCAAGCTCCTATTCGTTTCATCCCTCTTTTCCGAGTTGTAATTCACGGTCCGTCGCGAACTCATGGCGATTGCAGCAGAGACAGCGCCTCAACCTCCATCTCATGACAAGGTAGTCCACAATATAATATGAGACGATATTTTTCTCTCTGTCTCCATTTCTCATGATCAATTTCTCGATCGCATTACCAAATCCGGAACCTAGGGTTTCCGATTCAAGGTCTTAGATATTGTTACAGGTACTTCTGATTTTTTGATGGAATGCAATGATTGTAATGGCCGACTCGGAAATAGTAAGAGATCAAAGATGTCTGGCATTGTCAATATCGATTCTGGAACCTCCGGTTATTAACAAAGAGCGCAAAGAATTCGTGAACCGTGGAGTTATATTTGTCGACGACATCGAGTCTTCCTTCTCTTCTAATTTTTTCCCCTTCTTCTTAAGATTGCCCTCCCCATGAACATGAATTCAGGCTAGTTAGGAATAGGAATTTCAAATCTAGGCGGTCCAATTGAAGCCTGGGGTCATCCTGAATTCCAAATGTCTATAGCAGCCATTTACAACAAGATTTTACACTTGTATCTGAGATGCCTGCTCGAATATATCTTAACTCTTCTTTTTGCTTCCTTCAATTTCAGACTTCTTCTGAGGTTTCTGCTGTGGAGAACAGAAGATGGACCCTCAACGACTTCGATATTGGAAAGCCCCTTGGAAGGGGAAAATTTGGTCATGTCTATTTGGCCAGAGAAAAGAGAGTAAGTTTTTCTTCCTTTAGTTGCCATTTCCAACCTTTGCTATCTTTCCTTCCTTCCTTCCTTTTCTTTTAAAAGAAATTTTGGTTTATTTTTTCTGGTGATGTTTAAATCAGATCTCTGCTACTTTGAAGTAACTACTTCGTTTCCAGAGGAGATTGTGTATCAGTTTGGCCTATAAATCCCTTTCACATTACCTGTATACACAAACCATCAATTTACGTAAAATCAGTCCTTTTGCTGTGGTGTTCGGTTAGTTTTTAAAATTTATCCCGTGTTTACCAGTTTGCGATATCATGTAAATGGTAGATGCTATGAAGGATGTTGAATTTAACCTACCAGAACATCAGAAGGACTGCCTTAAAGTAGAATTGGCAGTGTATATTTAGGTGATGTTTAAAATGATTAACGAATCAAAATGCTGTATAATTCATCTTATAGAGATGAGTCAGTTGGTTCTCTCTTCTGGCAATGTTTATGGTGGTATATATCTTTGTAAAATACACACTTTATATTTAAACGCAAAACCATTCATATCAATCTAAAATAGTCACTTTGTTATTTTCTCTCACTGAATATTTTATACAATAGTTGTAAAAATTCACCTTTTCTATTTCTTTGTTTTGTATATGTAATTAATTTGATGAAATATGCGCATGGGTGACAGAGTAATCATATTGTTGCTCTAAAAGTCCTCTTTAAGAGCCAATTGCAACAGTCCCAAGTTGAGCATCAACTTAGGCGAGAAGTTGAAATCCAAAGTCATCTGCGACATCCCAACATTTTACGCCTTTATGGATACTTTTATGATCAGGTTCCTCTTCTTTCTTCTGAGATTTGATAGATCCTCTATGTATTGCTGAGAAGGGGAGATTATACTGCTTATTTACATTTTGTCTATAAAACTACTTCAATGCAGAAACGAGTTTATTTGATTCTGGAGTATGCACCCAAAGGTGAACTTTACAAGGAATTGCAGAAATGCAAATATTTCAGCGAAAGACGTGCTGCTACTGTGAGTATATATCACGCAACTACGGTTTAAAAAAAAAAAAAAAAACCTCCCCCATGATGTTTTTGTTTGTGAATTTGTTTTTCTTAATTTGAATCATCATTAACTGTTTTGCTGTAAGTTGATTAGTTATTGTTTTTATTTGTGATCGAGGCAGTATGTTGCTTCACTTGCCCGAGCCCTCATATATTGCCACGGAAAGCATGTAATACACAGGGACATCAAACCTGAGAACCTTCTTATTGGCGCCCAGGTGTGTTTATCTAGACTGTTGTTTCTTTCATGGCTCTTTTGTTTTGTTTATCTTGTGCTGATCATATTATTTGTCAGGGTGAGCTGAAAATTGCAGACTTTGGGTGGTCGGTGCACACATTTAACCGCAGGCGGACCATGTGTGGAACACTAGATTACCTTCCTCCAGAGATGGGTATGTACCAATGCGTTTGTTGATTTCCATCCTTCATTACTTTTATCATGTTTTCCGATGCAACTTATAATTTATTTACTTTGGTCCTTCAACAGTGGAGAGCGTGGAACATGATGCAAGCGTTGATATATGGAGTCTTGGCGTTCTGTGTTATGAGTTTCTTTATGGAGTCCCTCCTTTCGAGGCTAAAGAACATTCTGAGACATATAGAAGGTAAGCATGAGAATCTAAACATTTGTGTCATCCACTGGATTTAGATGGATTCAAATGTGTTTTTTGTTATACATGAAGACATTCTGATCATATTTCATTTGTTGCAGAATAATCCAAGTGGATCTCAAGTTCCCTCCCAAACCAATTGTGTCTTCTGCTGCAAAGGACCTCATCAGTCAGGTTTCCTTTTTTGTGCAATACTCATGCTTTTCCCTCTCAACAGATACTCGTGCCAATCACCTGCCTGAGCTTTTCCTTCTCCTTACTCTTTGTTGGTAATAGATGCTGGTGAAGGACTGCACTCAACGTCTACAATTGCACAAGCTTCTGGAACACCCTTGGATTGTTCAGAACGCAGAGCCCTCTGGTGTGTACAAGTGCTAGTCTTCCATTCCCAAGATGGCAGCTTTCTTGATCCGGAAAGTATGGGATGTAAACCGTCTGAACCAGTCGCGCGGTAGAGATGGGATCTATTGATATTCAGCATGTGCTGCGTTCGTATATTCTTGTCCCTCCATTGATGTATGTTACTGACTATTATTTGATTGTTGTAAACTCTACGGGGAAAACGGGAAGTTGATTTGTGATCTCTAGTTCAAAGTAAAATATAAAATATGATCGAGCGTTCATGAGGCCCCAAAGCTTGGTATTAAAATCTGTGTGTACTGCCGAAAAGGGAAATTGAGCGGCTACTTCAATTAAAAAGATACGTATTTTTTGCCGTGGCAAACAAATTATAATTATTTTATTTTTGGTTACACATCAGAATTTGAAGTTTAACTATTACAATTCAATCTTTCAAGTTTCATTTAACATATACTCCTTATTTCATAACTAGATTACAAAGCAGTTCTTAAAAAAAAAAATTAGTTTATTAAATGGGTGAAACTTGGTTAATTTTTCAAACTTTTAACCTAACATCATATAATGATTTTTATAGTGTTTATTAATTAAACATTTATTTTGTAAAGTCTGGATTAATAATATTATGTATGGAGAAAGTAATAATAATAACAATTGGTACACATATAATTCCCAATTACTTATAACAAAGAAGTTTTACCACTTACATCAATTTTAGTTGGTGTAAACATTTATTGAAAAAAATATGATCCTTAATTTCATTAAATTTTGCTTTTAATCCTTAAGGTGATTGAAAATACTGAAACTATAAAGACTTAAACCACAAATGTCACTTAATTTTATTGAGACTATGAGAACTAGAAATACTAAGAAAAACATACAAAAACTAAAAATAAAATTTGATAAAATTATAAGGATCAATAACTGTATTTTGAAAAGGATCGTTTGACATCATTATTTTTAAAAATAAGATCAATAATGAATTGAAAAAGTTAGTGGGTTATGGTTCTCATAGTTCAACCGATTAAATCAACAATCAAATTGATAGTATAATAATTAAATAAAAATTAATATTATATATACAAATAATACATATATATATATATAAATGTTAAATAATTTAAAAATATTAAACACATACATATAAAATACCAACACTATAGCTCAATCAAAAAGATAAAGACAGTATATTAACAAACACATAACACAAACATGTACTAAATAAAATATAAAAATTAAATAAATTGATATATTTATTCACATTATCATATAAAAATAAATTTCGAATAAAAAAAGTTAAAGAGAAAAAAAAACTAAAATTAAATTAAAATTTAAATCTGAAAATCGATTTTGTTATCTATCCCATCCCACCAAATCATTTTCATCAATCAAGATGTATTGATTATATACTAATATTTATTAAATATTTGTTAACATTACTCTCCCTTTCTCATTTACATTTTCCTCTCTTCTCTCATTTACTTTACCAATGCATTTCTTGTAAACTGTTCAATGTTAGAGTTTCCCATTGCTGTCATCTCTCTCTCTCTCTCTCTCTCTCTCTCCCCCCCCCCAAATTTCTCCATCTCTGACGAGTTCATTCCCTTCTTCATTCCAGATCCGTGAACAAGTTTGTTCACTTAATGTTTTGTGATTTATTTCATTGTTTTTGTTCAAGCTTCAGGATATGATCAATAAGTTCTTCATCTTTTAAATAATTGATGTTCTTTTATCCGTCTCTCATATTTTATCATCTCCTTCCTTCTCCTTCCGATGAGTCTTGTTTTCCGTGACTACATATAAGATGATGGCCATGTAATCTTTTTCCTTCTAATGAGTGCACAGAGGTTGAAGAGCAAAGACTGAATGGCTAAAGAAGAAGTAGTACAAATAGAACGGATTAATTGAGAGTTTTCCCCCATCTAGACCGCTTTCAAACCACTTTGGGTTCCGGTTTGACTCCGGTTCGCTCAAACCCACTCGTGCCAACCTAGTTCAATTGGATCTAACTGCCTAAATGGTCCAATCGGCATTGACTGAGCCATTTCAAAGGGCAGACAACGGTTGGACTGGTCTGATCATTTGGGTGAGTTTGATCATGAAAACACTATTTGACGTCATGACATATAGTAAAAAAAATATAGCAAGGCAAAATGGCATCTATTGCGCATCAATTTCTCAGGTATTCGCCTCCAGATGTGACCAAAAGCAAAACCTTTTTTCCAGTTCTTTAGATCCATTGTCCGCAAGCAAATGCATCTAAGGCTAAGGCAACATCTTGACGATATTTGGGCCCGCGTGTGGACACCAACAGCCACAAAACCCTAGAGGGTCCTTGCTATGCTTATAAACTGACCGTTTTATTTGAGTCGAGAATACCAAATAAATCCAAAATCCGTCACTAGCGTAACAATAAAAAATGTTTAGTATATTGGGTATATTAAATGTTTAGTATTAGTGTAAACGTTAAACAAGCATAACAATTATGAACTCCCCAATAAAAAATAATAAAACGAGTAAAATAGAAGTAGAAACATACATATCTATACTCCATACCAAATTTTATTTTCATCCCTTGAACATATTTATTTTCATTTTTATCTTTTAACTTCCAAAATCATTAAAAAAATGGCATCAAGCAAGAGTGTTTTTTTTTTAGTAAGAAGGTCAAATATATTAACAATAGAAAAAGGAAAAGAAAGTTATAAAATTAAAGTCACACAAGTAAAATCAAAAGAAACTAAGTGGTGGCTTAACAACAGAGCCACACTTCACAAAATGATAACTTAAAAACATATTTAAAAGATGAACAAGCAAGAGTGTTTTATTGCAACGTTTAGTTTCATCTGTTAAATTTATTTACTTTGTTATTTTTTATTCCTTAACTTTCGAAAGATATCATTAGTTCACATAATAAAAAATACAGATACGACCAGATTATTAAAAAATATATATATAGATATGACCAAGCGGAGCATGGTCTTCAAAAAATGTACCAATTGCAACGTAAGAAAAGAACTAAAGCACTTACTCTCCAAAGCTATGTTCCCCCGCATATGATAGCAGATGAAGAAGCTGACATTTAGTTGTTATTTCCCGTATTTTGCGCATTCGTCCCCCTCTAACAACAGAGTGCAAGGTGGTTCTCCCTCTTTTGCTTCATTAACATCTTTAGGATTCATAAAGCTTGGCTGGTCGGTCGAAGAAAGGAGTCTTGCCCACATCCTGTCAGTAATCACAACCTTGTTCTGCCTCTCAATGATTCGCTGGGCATCAAATTTTGGACATGAAATTTATTTTTGTCAGTAACGATTATAATCTCGTGCAACTACTAACTCTCAACAGAAGCTTAAATGGGAAAATTAAAAAGAAATGCAAGTAGGCATTATGCTCTATTGGCTGCTTTTCATCACCATCCTTCTGCATTTGTGGTACTTGGATGGAAAATGCAGAACCATTGCTTCACTCAGACACAAGCAGTGAAAAAAAAATAATAGACGTTACATTAATATGAGGCGTAACTCACATTAAATGGAATATATGTATGTCTGCCATTGACCAGGCCGGTTGTGAAGCCAGTATACCCTGCCATTGCCCCATGAACTGCACTCTGAGCAAGTAGTGTACAGTAGACATTGTCTGATGCATTGCTTGGAATTGCCCGGATCATGTAAGTAGGATCTGCCAGATAACTCAGTTAAGTAGTACTCCATTTATATCTGTCTTGGTTATACAAAAGGAAACTTCTAATGTCTTCCCTCCTCTTATGTAAATTTGGGTGACTAAACAAAGACGTCAATTAAGGGGGAAAAAAGGGAAGAGGATGAAATTAGAGAAACTGACCTATATATTTGAGAGTGATGGCCATCTTATTTTGCCTTGCAAAGTGGTACTGTTGAAGAAGATAAAGTGTTCAAGTGAAAAACCCAAAAACCAAAAATAGAAGAGAGACACAAGAATATTCTTAATCTTATGTAGTACCTTAATCTTCTGAGATATCCAGAGACCAACATCTTTAAGTAGCTTGTTTCCAGAAGCATCTTTCTCATCCATGACGTCAAGAAGATCTTGTCCTGCTCCCTCAGCTATGACTATAACCATGTGTCCATTTTCTTTGAGTCTCTTTTCAATGAATTCAAAAAGTCCACCCTTTCCTTCAAGGTAGAATGGTGACTCTGGAATCAAGCAACAGTCCACATCTCGACTGGCAAGAGTGGCATACATTGCAATGAAACCTGAAGGCATAAGTACACATTATATTATAACATAGAAAACAATGAACAAAGAAGATTCAAGAGAGTAAAAGTTTAAAAATGATTCATTTATATTTGGAAAGCGTGACTTACTACTTAGGGTCTCTAAAATCTAAATTAGAAGCCTATGAGATATCACTAAATCAAACACAAATGTGAAGTGTACCGCTGTAACGTCCCATCAGCTTTACAACTCCAATTCCATTCTCAATACTACTAGCCTCCACATGTGCTGCATTGATAGCACGCTGAGCCTCCTCAACGGCAGTATCAAAACCAAAGGACTTGTCGATAACCTAAAGCAAACAAAGGAAATTGAAGTTTATTTTATTGATAATAAACTCCTCTAATAAAAGTAGAAATGATAAAAGAGTTCAGTATAATAAATCAAAACTGTGATTAAGCATACCGGGATGTCATTATCTATGGTTTTAGGAATCCCAGCAATCACTACTTTGAGACCTCGCTGTCTAACTTCCTGTATGATAGCCAATGTCTGTTCAGAATGCTTACCTGATATAACGAAAGATAGGAATAATATTGGGACAAATTAAGCTATTGCAGTTGAAGAAAATCCCATTGCTTTTAGGTTCATATCCACCCAGCTGCTCAATTCGAACATCTATCAACCTGAACCCAATTATCAAGGGCCACTTATCGCACAATGTACCTCAAACATTTTTGGCGATCAACTTCATGTACAAGAATTTATTGCCATAATTGCCTTCCAACAAGTACAATATCAGCAATCAACACCAATGTCTTGACTTTAGAATTAAGTTATTGAAGTACTATCAAATAACTGCCTCAACACCAATCAAAACAATGTCTTAACCGCATAAACATGCAACAAAAAGCAACTATATTGGACTCTAATTAGTTTGAATTCAGCAAGTAGAACTACAAAGAAAGCAAAACTCTCTTAAGGAGTCTTTAAAGCATCCCTGGTACTCAAACGCAAGACTTATAGTTATTTAGTACGACCCTCTACTAGTTAAGCACTTGTTGGTAGCAATCATTTATATATTTACCATCTTCCATTGATGGGGAAAGAATAGAGGAAAAGAAAACAAAAAGAAAGACTAGCAAAAATAACAATGCAGACGAATGCACACATCGAGATGCATATTAGTAAGAAATATATATACAAAAATGAAATAAATGCCCATCTTAATTGACCAGGGGGGGCATTCTAACATGACATCCTTTGATTCAGCGTACCTCATAAATCACAGCTGCTCCTCTCTGGGTTCCATCTCCTCCAATAATGTAAACCTGTAATGATAATCAGAACAGTAAATACTCATGCCATAACAATAACCTGCTCAGAAAGCTGTTTTCTGAATGTATTAAACACATAGCTAACCTGGTTAATTCCACGATCCTGGATGCTGTCAACTATCTTAGTCTTATCATGGCCTCCTCTTGATGTTCCAAGAATTGTACCTCCACGCTTATGGATATCATTGACCACCTTGGGTGTTAGAGTAACAGTATTTTTGGAATAGAAACCTTTATAACCTCCCTGTATGTATTATATAGCTAGACTTAATTTGGTGGTAGAACTGAGTCGCTAAAATCTTCTGAATAAATAATAGCAAGCCATTCTACACAGGGAAAAAAAAAAAAGGCAAACCACCCAATATTCCCAGGTGAAAATCCATATGTTGTATCTATCTGTTTTGTCAATTATGTTTGATTATTATGTTATATCAATCAGTTGGCATAACCTTGTAACAGTGTCATTTTTGTTTATGCATATATTTTAATGCCGTGACAAAAATCAATTAAGGAAAAGTGTTTTGAAAGGAAAAGATAATAAATTGAATGTGAAGTAAAAGTTTAGCACTCACATCTATACCAATGACTTTGTGGACACCGTACATGTAAGAAAGACCACACACAATTTCCCTTATGACTGTATTGAGCCCAGGGCAGAGACCACCACATGTAACAATACATGCATGGACGTCATCCGAGTTGAAATACACCTGAAGTAACAACAGCTTATTAACTGATTCAAATCTCTAACAATAGTTTATAACTACATGCGCAGAAAACCAAATTACCCTTTGGCGGGCTCCCGCACGTCGAAAATGTACTCCTCTTGGACTATTCTTGTGAACAACAATCTAGAGGTGAATAAAAGATGTATCCAGTAGCATAAGTTAATATTATTTAAAAAAAAAGCCCAGAGGTTAAATCTCTCTTTTGCACAATAGGAAAAAAAGGGTTAAGAAGTGAGCTAACAGATCAGGTGACGGAAATCTGTGCTGCATAATTGCATTATCAATGGAGCATGACCTAAATAAAATAAACAAAGTAAGACGCAGAAGAGAACCTTCTGGGGAACCGTGTCGTCGACGTGAACAAAATATTGCCTGATGACACAAAAGAAGCCGCATCAAGAGCCAATATATATGTATGTTCAATAGAAACCGCTAGTTAAAATACCACATTCGAAAATCACAACATGGAAATGCCTCACTTACTTTACAACAGAGTAAGCTGGATTAGATCGCAGTGGATTTGGGTATGTCTGCAAACATAAACAAGCACCACCATGTTTAAAGCAGCGATGATTTGATTTCTCTAAACAAAGGGTAAAGATTGGACGTAATAAGGAGAGATACAGGGAGATTAGGAATATAGTCGGAGAAATGAGGAACGTCTTCGAGTATATAACCAGCCTCGCCATGGACAATCTTCATCCCGGAATCATTTGATCCCATTATTCCGTTGAGGTCGTATACTTCCAACTCGAGAAGATAGAAACGAAACAGGTACGATATGGTTTCTTTCCAAATTATTCCTTCTGTTTCCTTCTGGTTCGATCTCGAATTGATACAACGCCGTATTTGGAGGGAAGAAAGAGAAATGAGTGAGATGCTTCAGTCTTGACAGTTATGAGACGGCTCCCCATTCCCAGAAAAATAAATAAATAAATTTATATTTCAATTAATATGATAATTAGTACGTAGGAGTTGAATTGAAGAATTGTTACATATTGGAAATATAGTATTTGGATCGCTCGTAAAATGTGCCGCTCGTGGCAATGTGATATTGACAGTAGGATTGAAAGTTGGTCAAGAATGGTTCAAGAATTAATCTGATGTCTATATATTCGTCACAAAGCCTACGCGGTGGTCGGTGAAAAAAGGTGGCGGGGTTTAACGCCTCTGCTCCTGTAAAGTGTCACGTGGATGGATTTTGCGGAAAAAAAGTCTCCCATCTTCTCTTCCCCCCCTCCCCCCCCCAAAAAAAAAAAAAAAAAAAACTGCTCTCAGAAATGACGTACGGCTATTTGGACTCATGCCTCTTCTTCTGCTTCTTTTCAAATCTGTTAGGTTTGTTTATGAACAATTTTATTTTGGTCTTCTTTCACTGTTTTCTCCCCAAACATCTAGCTAGTCTTTCATATCATTGCGTATTAATTTTTGGGCCAATAATCATACAAACTATGATACTAAATTGATTGCAGCGGACCTTTTTTGTGTTCCTAAAACTTCTATTTGGTCAGTGGTAAGTTGAGCCGTGCCAGCCTGTTTTAAAGGAGTCAAGAAATGCATAGCCAAGCTCGCCATCTATTTAATCTACAAATAACGAAATACAACGAGAATGAAACAAGAGATGCAATGCTTATCTGAAAAGCACATATCCGGAGATCTATAGCTCTCAAAAGATCACTTCTGGTTGCACATCGAACAAGTAATTAACCAACAGAGTCACCGATTCGCAGTTTTATCCTCAACTTCAAGCTCTATTCATCTCAAGGTTTTGGGGACCCTGTGCCAACTCATCTTATTCCTATTTGCCAAGGGCCATAGTCATTTGAATATGTAATCACGCAGCTAAACAAGAGATCTTTTCTTTATTTCTTTCTATTTCACTACCAAAAATCATTGCAAGAGCATGTGCCTTCTCTGAAATGGTGGAACCGACTACGGTCACGCACAATAATTTCTCTTTGAACAAGTTGAGAGATCATCTTTATAGCATCATGGCAGTCATCACAAACTCGCAGGTTCTTCACTATTCTAATGGTCGTTCCTCGACTAGTACTAATCAGCCCAAATGCTATTGCCAACCTCTCACTGTGAATGGATAAAGCATCCTCCTTTTCTTCTTCATCCACGTTATGTACCACGAGATCGGTCTTAGGTTTGTAACCAGCAAGCTTCAATCTCCATCTTAACTCTCTAATCATTAAATCTATCTTCTCTGACTGAGGATGTGAGATCAAATCTCCCATGAAGAACTCATGAACAGTATTGTCCACCTCTATCCAACTACACCCAGGTGTTTTCATTACTCCGTTATCTCGCATTCTCAATCTACACTTTGCTGCATCATCTAGCCTTCCCTTTGAAGCATATATCTTTGCAAGATAGACACAGCTTCCAGAGTGGTCAGGATCCAGTTCAAGAATACGTTGTGCTGCGCGTGCACCTCTCTCTGCATCTTTATATATCCTACACCCACCAAGCAGTGCACCCCAAACTATGACATTAGGCTCCATAGGCATTGAGATAATGAAATTCTCAGCTTTCTCCAGATGACCAGTGCGGCTAAGAAGATCAACCACACAGCCGTAGTGTTCAATCTTAGGAGAAATTCCATACATTTGGTCCATCATATGAAAGTAGTCCAGCCCCTCATCAACCAGTCCAGCATGAGTACATGCTGTTAGTAGCCCCATGAAAGTTATATCACTTGGCCTCATTCCATGGTCGATCATTTCTCTAAAGCAGCCGAAGGCTTCATTTGCATGCCCATGCATTGCTAAGCCAGTGATTATAATAGTCCAAGAGGCCACATCCTTTTCCTGCATTGAATCAAAAACATGCCTAGCATCCACTATACATCCACACTTTGCATACATATCAACCAGCGAGTTCCCTAAAAACAGACTCAGCTTGATCTTATTTCGTTTTATAAATCTATCGATCCACTTCCCTAAATCAAGTGCTCCAAGCTGTGCAGAAGCAGACAATACACTAACGAGGGTAACATCATTGGGCACCACATTGCTTTGTTGTTGCATTTGGTGAAATAAAACTATAGCATCAGAATACTTCTCATTTTGGGCGTAACCAGAAATCATTGCGTTCCATGAAACTACATTTCTCTCTGGCATTTTATCAAAAAGCTGGCGTGCTTCATATAACTTGCCCATCCTTGCATAGCCACTAATCATCGTCGACCAAGAAACCATGTTTTTCTCACCCATCCCATCGAAAATCCACCTTGCCTGATCGATATTTCCACTTAAACAATGACCAGAAAGTAAAGTGTTCCAAGATACAATATCTCTAGAGATCATCTGATCAAACAACGTCTGAGCAATCCCAATTTGACCCACTTTAAAATACAAATCGACAAGCGAGTTACGGACAAAAAGGTTCCATTCACACCCATATTTAGTGACAATGCAATGAACCTTTTCACCTTCTACCGCCCGGGCAAGTCCAGCGCAAGCCTTGAGAACGGAAGTAAAGGTGTACTCATCTGGGTCTGGAGCATCAGACGTTAACAATTGCTTGTTGAAATGATTTATAGTAGTTTGCCAGAGATTGTTCTGAGCAAATGCTTTGAGGAGGGCATTGTAAGCGAAGATATTTGGGTTGGTAAGGCAGTGCGTGAAAATTAAAGCACCGTGGTGTGCATTAGCACGGGCACCGCATACCCCAATAAGCTTAACGGCGATAATGTTAGGGTCAATAGATTTTGAATCGGGAAATACTGGGGAGATGACCAGTTGGGCCTGAATTTGATACAGGTGACGCATCGTTAGCTGTGCCTCGCATTTTAGCACCAAGTGAATGGATTTGGAATAGTTGCAGGAATGCAGTAGAGCCAGAGTGATTATGATGTTATAGCTAATTTTCCATAAACTGCAATAGATTTCGATTACCGAGATTAGCTCTGCCAGTAGTTCCGGTCGTCGGAAGGTTTAGAGGGGGAGCTCTGAACACGGGAAAACCGGAGGAGAGTTGATGGGTCGAACAGAGGAGGCTCGGATCGGACACAGTAGCAGCACACGTGCACATCACATGTACTTTTCTATTTATTTATTGTTTGAAAGTATTAATTAAGTCGATTTCCTCGCCCCCTGGTTACTTGTAGACGGCCCCGAGCAAAACCGCTCTTTGTCAGAGGAGGCTCGGTTCAAGGAACCTGCCCGCGGAATAGGTCATAGCTAAATCCTACCACGTCTTCCGTTGTGGCATCTTATAAGAAATAAAGAGGTTGTCTTGAAGAGAAGCGTGCTGCCAAGGGAATAGAATGGGTATTCCGTCCGAGCCAAGGGACATGCTCACGCAGACAAAAGGCTTCTTAGTTGCTTCTCCAGCTGAAGAGCAGAAGATTTTGAGGACTAAGCTATGCACTGATGGTATTTATATTTTTTAATCTGATTTGAAACTTGTTTATATTGTAGGTAATTTACACGGAGCGTGTGTTTTCTGAGAAATCTTGGGAAATGGTCGGAATTGAAGTTGGACGATCTAGTTTCAATATGTCTTTTGCGATTCATCTTGTTTCCTTTTTTTTTTTTTTGAATGAAAGTTCAATTGTTTACTTTAAACAAGATGGAAATTGGATTTTATGGCTTTCGATCTAGGATTTCGTTTATGATCCTTTCCCCTCCGTCTTTGTCTTCTCAGTCTACTTGATTGGTTTGAATGGGAACATGTTTATTCTCTGATTTGCTCGACGAAAGTAGGCACATTTCTTGAAATTTATCGATAAAATTTAATTATCATCTCTCAGATAAGTTTAAATAACACATTATCCTCATTAAATTCTCATGAAAGTGTATTTCTCTAGTTGATTTAGAAGCATAAATAACAAATGCTTTGATTTAGTTGAGGTACCTCTTTATACCTTATAATAACCAAGAAAATAGGGAAAGTATTTATTTTGGACATCTTGTCAAATGACGCACGAAGCTGGATATCATCATGATGTTAACCTTTTCTTAAATTTCAGAAGGAGTACGTGCTGGATTCAAGGCAGCTTCCATTGCTTGCATTGCCAGTGCTGTTCCTACGGTATATTTTTTAGATTGTTGGGGTCTTTCTGCTAATGGCGATGTGCTGGACCTCTTTTTAGTTGGAAAGAAGTTTTTGCTTAGATATATCTGTTTGTTTTCTAGGTGTAGCATTTTTTTTTTTTTTTGTTGAGATCCTATAATTTGGTCATCTTGCTGCAGTAAATCATACGAATAATTGGTGTTGAAAAAATTTATCATAGCGGTAAAATATTTCTGATAAGGCTATGTAGTTCCTCCCAGGGGCGAGTAACTTAACCCTCAAGTTGAAGTTTTTTCTTGTTGTTCTGACCCTTTTTTTTTGTTTTGTTTTTTGAGCGATCAAAATCATGATATCAGCAGTTAAGAATTCCATGTCTAAGTTCTTTGTTCCTTAGGACACGTGGTGAAGTATGAACAGTTTGGTATTGCTCTGGTTTTATGCACCATTTCTTTTCTGGCCATATTTGACTGCCTGAGATTGCTTGTATACTGTTGTTTCGCAGTCACATACCGATATGGTGAAATTATTGAGCATCTTAATGCCAATACACCACAGATGTCAGTTGTCGTGCGGGAAAAACATTGTTAAATTGAACTTTCACATGACAGGCTTGAATTATAGATAGTTTTTGAATTTTTGGAACTAATCTTTTGGGCTACAGAGACACTTAATTAAGAGTGTGATATGGAAATCTAGTGATTGCTGATGCATCAACGTTTGGCTGTCCACTGATAATGATAGGTCACTGCGACAATAGTGCACAGTTTAGTTTGATCTCCAATATTTCATAATTATATCTACCTTTGTGGTTGCTTTGCCTATGCTTCATGCATGAATATTATATTGTCCTATTGAAGGTTTTTTTTTTTTCCCCAGTTGGTTGCAGTTCGTAAAGTTCCCTGGGCTAAAGCAAACCTCAATTACACTGCTCAGGCACTAATTATTTCTGCGGGTATGATATCAAATTTGTGTTAGAAAGGGGACTTGGTCGTGTAATCTTCATTAGAGTACTCAAAGCTTTCTTTATTAAGATCTTCTCGGTGTTATGTTGTTGGATTCAAAGCAAGAAGCAATAAATATTGATGATGGCTTAATCGCTAGTGAAAATATTTATATCCTCCTTGAAAAGGTTTACCTTAATGCTGAAATTCTATTATGAAGGACTGGGGTTCATTTTGTGCCATTGATCTATTTGGGAATAAAATGTGTAACCTTCTTATTTGTTGCCCCACCTGTCATCTGAGTTTTGAATTCATTCACATGATTAACATTAGATTCTTTTTTCATGAACAGCATCAATTGCTGCGTACTTCATCACTGCTGATAAAACCATCTTGGAATGTGCGAGAAAAAACTCCCAACTTGAGGATTCTCTGAGACGCCAAAGATAATCTACAGTTCTGACTTCAAAACCACAACGTGGACGCCCCCATCGGTTGCAGTCCATGACATTTCTGCTTCTTGTGATGGCTAGTAGATCGGCATTTGACTAGCCTTCTGCAAATCCCCCCCCCCCCAAAAAAAAAAAAAAGAACCTTTTTCAGATGAGCTTATAGGTGTTTGTTTCTGAATAAAAAAATGTGTACCATGGAATCTCTTTCCCTTGGCTACATGAGTTGTAATTTTAGTTGCTCATTTTTCGCATTGCTTTGTTTTCTGTGATCGCTATTTCCTTACTTTCGCTGAGCACTTCACCTGGTATCTCCTCTGGTTTTATTTATGAAATGAATGACTATGAACCAGAGCGAATTGTGATCAATTCCATGCCCTTAAATTTAGAAGTTTATTCGATCGAAAGGGGAGCTTTATATTCCATGTCATCAGCTTGATCTCGTTATTTACGCCCAATGAAATGGATTGAATGGTCAAAATATGTGCAGCGGGAGATGAAGAAAGGAAGAAATAACTAAATCTTCATTGATGAAAAAAGCATGACTGAAACTACCAGATGCTTGAATCAACTGAATAGGGGTTTAGTTTAACTTAACCATAAGCTTCGAGTTTGAGTTTTGAGCATGCAGTATTGATTAAATTTTTAATGGTAGGTATATCTCTTAAAAAGGTGTTGATAAGTTGCTGACCAGATTGATTTGAGTTAAAAATCTAGAATACCAGAGCAAAAGGTTAAAAAAATAAAATAAAATGCATGACTGAAGCTAATACGCCTCAGTATTGTTGCACAAGCCTGCCAAAATGGCCGTTTAAAAGGCATCCTAAACAACTTTGTCATTTAATTTTTAGGTTTGTTGCAAAGAAATTTCGTTATGCAAAATAATTCAAGATGCTTTTCAAGGTAGGTAATGCTCCCCCGATATGTTTGGATTTTAGTTGTCTGATGCTAAGCTTAGCTTCAAAACTTCGTCAACATCTAACATGCCAGCGGACTAGGCTCGACATACGGATGAAATTCCAATATGCCATTCTGATAAGTCTTCGTTGTTATTGGATACCCCCATATGGAGACAAAACGTAGAATTTGGAAATATAGATAGTGCCTGGCATAACCTTAGGAAACCACACTTGATTCAATAGAATATACTATAAAATGATGATCTTAAGGAGCAACGAAAACTTAACAAAGGACAATATATTTTGAAGCGCTCATCGTTATGTTTAATTTTATTGTAAAAAAAAACACTGGATAACCCTCTATGTTATGTATATACTATATCACACTTCACACTTCTGTTTAGGATCAGAAATATAGGGGAATGGCCATTAGCCACCCAGCTTCTTTGAAACTCCGATAGTTTCAATTGGTAAAGTTACGGTTACAGAGAAGAGAAGCAGAGCCACCAGCCCTAATGTAGCTTCTGCAGAAGAAACCCCCCCAATCTGAATTCCTTGCGTCTTTTTCTAAAGACTCAAGTCACTTTTTGGAATCAGCGCCGTCATCAGATTTATCAGATGTATCCTTATTGTCTTTCTCATCATCGTCCTCATTTGCAGATGAAACTCTGAATGACTTTTCAGAGATGATGGCTCACCTTCAAATCAAGCAAGTGCCTTGAGAAAAATCCAAGTCCTTTTGGGCATAGTGTATCATTTTAATCTTTCACATTCCTTTGCTCAGATGAATCCCTTTGTGTAATCTGCAGAAGAGGGCTTTCCAAGTTCTATGAAGGTAAATCCAGAGCCTTCGCATCCCTCTCAGATGTAAAGTGTGTAGAAGATTTAGCAAGGAGGCAGATTCATCAAAGAAAGAGAGCTCAGAACTTCTCACAGCCCCAGGGCAGTCATATCAAAGAAGGCTTGGAAGCGCTATTTAACGTCTCTAGTGTCTAAGTAGAGTTAGTTTCCAGCAGCCCTTATTAGGACTGGTCTTAGTAGTAATTACAGCTAAACGCAGCAAGGCATGTTATCAAATTGCTTGTACTTCTACTTCACGTAACTTTTCCGGAAGAAAGAAAATAGCATTGTCTCACTGAATCCAAATCCTCTCCTCAGAAAAAGATTTCCTTCCTTTTGCCACTCTGCATGTTATAAAATGAGTCGCTGTTATTTAAGTTTTGGAATTCAAGTGGAAAGATGGACAGTGATCAGTGAATAGCAACATCAAGCTGCTTTTGTTATTATTGCTTTTCGGTGGTCTGTTTTTCTTTCTTTTGCGCAAAATCTACAAATACACGTTTACTGATATTTCTGGAATTAACCAAGCTTGATTTTGGGATATGTCTGGGATGAAGACTTCTAATGTTCTATACGAAATCAGTTATTAGGCCAACTTTATGTTTTAATCTAATCCATATTTCCAGTTAATGAGAAAAAGCTACTTGCAGAAAAGAATAATGTAGGATGAATATTTTAAAAAATTGGTTAAATTTTGTGGATAACTAATATACCAAATGTTCAAAAATGTACTTCTGAAAACTAATTCTTAACAAAAATTTTGGACTTCAAGACACAATTTTTAATTTCTTAAAAGAACGTAAAGAAACTCCCATAGCAGAGACATCACAAGTAAAAAGATATCTTCCCTTGTAACAATCAACATAAGATTAGCTGGCTCTGAGTAAATCAAGACAGGGGCCTTACATAATTACCTTGGCATTGAATCTGTAATGTGAATTTGTCTCAAGAGTTAGGTTGACATTGCTTTCTGAAACAATTTTATGATCAAAGAGCAACTATAAGTGTGCAAGAACTTAAGGTACAATAATTGCTCGTAATTAGTGTCTAAGAAGTGAAAAATGAAGGTAAACCCTAACTTAAGCAATGAAGTTGTTCTTAGGGATTCGTGGCGTCTCCGTTCCTTATTTTCCTAGATTTACTGAATTCCAGACAGTAAAATCGAAGCAAGGCTAACAGGCCTTATATGTCAGCCACAAGTTATAGATTATACTTGCCTTTTTTTTTTTTTGGCCTAAATTATACTTGTCATTGACATGCATGACACAACCCTTTCTTCAGCTTTAATTCTTGGAAGAAGGAAAAATATACTGGAAAAATTAATTAGGGGCAACGGCTTTAACCCCTCAATAAATATTCTGCAAAGTTTATCATTCCAGCTTTTCTGCAGCTCAGAATGCATATCTGTAAATAGCATCAGCAACACCATCTTCGTCATTACTCATACCTATTACATTAGCTACTGCTTTTGTCTTTTCTGCTCCATTACTAAGAGCAATGCCAAGAGAAGCTAGCTCAAGCATCTCGATATCATTTTCTCCATCACCAATAGCCATTATCTGCAAATAAGTAATTAGAGGTGGGGAAATGCAATGATGGAAATCAATATAGCTGCATTCTTGTATGAGAGAATTATTGAAACAACGCCTCGAATCTGATCTGCATTATTGTTCAACAATTCTGGAACTAATATTTGTCCTCTCAATGCATGCTCGAAAAACTTTAGAAGATATATGCAATCAAGTCATTGAACACTGAGCTAGAATATAGTTGTGTACTTGTTAAACAGCGAATTAACTAAAATGTTCGCATTTGCCATTTAACATACAAGTTCTTATATGAAATATTAAAGCATACGATGCCGTCAGATACATGAAGAGTGTTATTGTTAGAATTCCCTGGAGTCAAAGACAGTGCAAAAAAGTCACCAATAAAACAAACAAAAATGCAAAAATATATGCAAAAACTATCAGGGGGAAACAAATGCGTGTTACCTCCTTAGCAGTAACCCCCAAATGATCTAAAAGCATTTTTACTCCATTCCCCTTTGAAGTTCCCAAGGGTACAATTTCAAGCATGTCTGGCACAGCTTGAATAACTCTGGCGTGATCAGTTGTTGCCTCTGACCAGTATGGCCGCAATGTGCTAGCCACTCTCTGAGCAGTGTCGAGGAAAATCATTTTCTGCAAAACCAAAAGACTAGCGTTAACGAGAACCCAAAGTGACAAGAATAATAATAAATTAGTTTTTTCACTACAGTTGTGACAGTTCTAGACCTTAGATGGGCTTTCTCGGAAAATGATAACAGTGAAATTCAGTCAAACAGATATACAAAAGATGAACATAACACCTTGTACATGTTATTCAGAGACTGTTTGACTTGAAACAGTTTGGAGAAGAGTCTAGGGAGTATGGAGGCACATGTTTGCTTTTAGTTAGTTTCTAGTGGAAGCTAGTTAGGGAAGATGAATAAAAAGTAAAACAACGGAGGAAAATTCTGGAGAAGGCTTTGGGGAGACGTCTAGAACCTTGTTTCACCACATTTTCTCTTTTATTCTTACCCACTGGCATACCCACCATTTCCACTTATTTTTTGCTAAGGGTTCTGTCTGAGTTCCTTGTAGTACCTTCTTTACTGTTCCTTAAACAAACTGAAGAAATACAAACAACGATAGCAATGAGGTAGGTAATTTTATTTCAGCTTTCTGGAGTTCCAGTAGTGATGTAGGTAATTAATCTTGAATATCATTAGCATCCATAGGAACCCAATTCATAAACTCAAACCAGAAGCAAAATTTTGGCAATGTATACCTGTATGTCAGCAGCAGCCAAGAGATGCTCAGTAGAAGGCATGATCTCTGCCTGCAAAGATGTTTTAAATAAATAGAAGGAAATGACCAAACAGAATGTAAGAAAGAATATACAATGTCGTATTACCTTGGGTTCATGATACACTGTGTGAAGTGAGTCAACCAGTGGGTGATCAAAAAGGGTTAAGCAGCGTCCCTCACAGAATGCAATAAGTGGAACCTTATTTTGCAAAGAGTAAATGCATGCCTGCAATTAAAAACGCATACTTCTTTCCCTTAAAAATGACAACGAATTTCCCACAGAGAAATAAAATGAATATAAATAATTAAATTTTTTAAACTTGTCCGTTATATACCACAACCTATTTATTTATGCATGAGAGATTAAATTAGTTTCCAAGTTTCCATGGATACATGAAAATATCCATTCTTATTTCTCCTTTAGGTGGGAAAGGGGGGAAAAATCAGACTATACACTAAAATTCTTATGGGAGAGGAAAATATAAGCTGGTTCCACGAACGTTGTACAAGAAAATCAGAAATAGATTTGGGGCCCAAGACCACACGCACATAAACACACACAGAAGTGTGGAATACGGAGCTATATAGTGAATAGCTCACACTTACACAAAAAAAAAAAAAAAAATGCAACAGGACAGAGGTCAGCATGATTGATCCAAGAAAATACTTTTTGTCTTTTCTTTTGGGTTAAAAGAAAATACTTGTTCGTACTTTCCAACATGAGCGCAGAAAATGGAAAAATCTCACAAGCATTAAGACCAAAAATCATATAAATTACCTCTCTACAGACATTTGGGTCTAAGTTGCTTCTAAAAATTTCCCGACCCTGTCTGCCAT